TTATTTTAATATAATTTATTTAATAAGGTTCATATGTATTTGTATATATATTCATATTGGAGTTTAGAAGGACTTCTTTGAGTTATCTTAATGTGATTTATAAAATATTTTTAACTTAATTGAAATAAATCCTTTATACAATTTATTTGTAAAATGATGATCAATTTAAAATTTATTTTCTGCTAACACAAATATAATTATGATTGTAAATAAATAAAAAATAATTTTGGTTTAATAATTTATCAGGATAATTTTAAAATTGTTAATAAACTTTTTAATATATAAATATTAATAATATTTAGATAATATTGTTCAAAGAAAATACCGTAAAATTGACAAATAATTATTATGAAAATAACACAATAGTATTTAATATGATATGGGTAAAATAAAAGCTAAATACTTTTCAAATTAATTATTATAATTTATGTCTTTACAATTATTAAAAAAAAAGTATAAATTATCAATTAATTTTAATTCTTCAGATTTATTTTTTATTCCTTCCCACATTTCAACTATAAAAATTATATAGTATATATATCATTAAATATAATGGTTTCGAAAATATAAAAATTATTCATTTCTGCTCTGACACTTAAATAATTTTAAATGTATCTAAATCCATAGTAACATTCTAATATTCTAATATAATCTAAATATTAATTAGATAATACTCTTTCCAATTCATCTTATTATTTTTGTTAGATCTGAACCAGTGGATATTTTTTATTTATCTATCATAATTATATTAAGAAAATTAAAATATCTAAACCTTCTAATAAATTATAAATTTTCATTTTAATATCCTAAGGCCATTAAAAGTAATTCGGTAATTTTTCTCTAACTTTTAAGTAATAATTATTAATAATGTAACTTAGAAAATTGGAAATATTAAAAATATCTATGGAATATTATAAGATAAGCATAATATGTTAATATAATTATTACATAGATTTAATAAATGAAAATTAAAAAACAAATTACTTTTCCTCCTTAAAAAAATTCAAAAAAATTGAAGTTAAAATGAGTTTTTTTTACATTTTTCCATTTTTTAATTAAGAATCATTATTTTGTAAATCTTTTTAAAATTGTATCGTTGATCTAAAAACAATACATAAAGAATAAAAATTATACAAACTAATACTTATATTTTGATTAAATAAATGAATTATATATATATAATTTGCAAATTCATTTTAGGATACCAAATTAATAGCCATTTATCTATGATGTTATTAAAAGGGTCTCTAATTTGATTAGAAAATTGGTGATTAAAATATGTTTTTAGAATATATATTATATTAATTATAGAAAACAGGGATTATTTGAACTTAATGGCCATATAACTTGATAATTTTAATGTTCCATAAAAATTAGATTAATTGAGAAAATAGTTTATATTAAAATTTGAGATATGTTTATTTATACGTAGTTATGAAATCATAATCTTTATCTAAATATTAACACAATAACAGGTCATTCATTATACAACGACGATTGGTATAATTTGAATATTATAGAAGATTAGACAACCTACTTAATCACCTTAAAATAAGGATGAGCTTTCTTTCTAAAATTATTTCACTGAATAGTCAAATCTCAAATCTTAAGCTTCAAAAAAAGAAATTATAAGATTGATTTAGTCTTCTTATGATAGTATAGAGAAAGACATTGACTTTTAAGAGTTAAATATTGTTTTGACGAAACTACTTGAAGGATTGAAAACTTGTCTTGATGAGTAAGATTTGTCACTAACACTGATCCAACTTATATAAGCAATCAAAAAAACTATAAAGAATAACTAAATCAATTTAGAGAAAATCTATGATTATGAAAAAGCCTAAATATTGTTAAAATTATAACAATTAGAATAATAATCTACAGAGAATGAGAAAAAATTGGGTAATTATATTTTGTCATTTTAGAAAAAAAGCTGATGGAATATGAAAATCAAAACAGAATACTAAAATTATAGAATGAATTAAATCAAATTAAGAAAGGTAAAGTCACAAAAGAAAAGCTTGAAGATCATAACTAATATATAATTTAAATTAAAGATATGAGACAAGAAATCCTTTCAAGATCAGAGAAAAAACATAAGTTAATAAGGTTGGTTAAGGCAATGAAATCAAGAGGGATAGATGTTGAAAAATTTTATTAAAATCTCGATAACTAATGTAGTAAAGAAAGCAAAAAAACTACTAAACAATCTGATTCGTTAAGAGAGCAAATTTCATTCGCTGAATCAAATTTAGCAGATATTTCTTAATTAGATTTCAGTCCTAATCTAATTAAGAGACACACTCAATATTTAATTGATTGAATTAATATATCAAATTTATTTATAAATTTAATTTAATTTATTTGATCAATACATCTTATTTATTTCAATAAAAAATCTATATATATTATTTATATCATTTTAAGCAATCATTGAAGGGTAAAAAACAAATTATGTTTTTAAATTAATTTTTTCATGAATAAAATGCAGGTTGCAAAAAATAATTCACAAATCTTAAATTTTAACAAGACACAAAAATATATAATAATTATATAAGACAAAAACTTATTGTTTAAATGTATCTAATAAATCAAAAACTTCTTAATAAAAGATTTTAAAGTTCTTGATCTTTCAATAAAATTTATGAGAGGCTATAAAATAATCTTTATGACAAATATAACAATCCTAATTATTAATCATGAACTTCAATCCTAAATGTATTATACTTTAAATTTATAGTAGAAAATATGAAAAATAATATAATTTTTTAGTGGCTAGAAATTTTATTATAATATTTTAAAACACAATTTTCAATATAACTGGGATTGTTTTAAAGAATGGATTTAAATCTTCCTATTAAAAGGATTAATTCAAAAATAGAATCCCTGTAAATTGATGGTAAACTAGATGTTATCTTTACTATTATTCAAGAAAATGTTAGAAATGAGTTTTTTTATAAATATCTATTGTTTCATTTAACAATCTTTATTTTTACTTTGGTATTTATAAGCCATAATAACTGAATTTATTAAGATTATTGCTCATAAAACCTTTGATCAAAATTAATCTTAACTTTCCAATTAAATTTTACATGAGGGTTGTGTAGAAACTTATTTTTATAATCTTTTTTTTGTAATTTTAATTTCCTTAAAAAATATTTACCATAAATCTTAATTGTGTATTTTACAATGTCTATGAACAAACTTGCATATAATATTGCAGAAAACAAACCAATATGCAACCATCCTGATAAAACAAGTTGGGTTTCAGTAGTTTAAAACTATAAATTATAAATGATCCTGTTGTTATCATAAAATAAAATTCTTTTAAAATTAATTTAAAAAATTCATACTTTGAATTAAAGGTATAAATTGACAAAGATACATTAAATATATAAGTGATAATGTTATAATAAAATAGATTAAGCTTCAGGATAATTTTTTAATTATACAATTATAATTAAATAACATTAAACTTTGTAAATTTAAAATGATTTAAAATTGACTGCCCAAAAATTAGCATTTGAACCTTCAAATAAATATCTCCATTTATTTTTATTAATTATTTTAGAAGATGTTATGGAAAGAGACTTAAAATTTAATAATACAATTAATATTAATGAGAAAATAGCATTTATAGAATTAATAGATTCAAAAATTGTATTAAAAGTTTCATTTTGGAAATTAAAGTAATGTACTAAATACTAATTAATGAAGAATTGTTTAATAGAGTTAAAAAGCATGTTGACTAATGTAATAATTTTTAAATTGTAGACAATTATAAAGAACTTGTGATTAAAAAAATCGAATAAATTTTAAGAAAGTTTTATTTTCATTCTTTTTAATGAACAATCTTTTTAATATATTAGAAACACACCTAGATGTTAAAAATGAACAAATAATATAAGTAATTATAGACATTAATGCTGAAAAATAACAGCTTTTAGCATTAATAATATAATTTGAATTCATAATTATATTATAGGTTTGTAAAAGTAATTCATATTATTATTATAAGAAGTTTTTAACAATGATCCTCCTTAAAATTTATAAATGATGGATTAGATTGCGATGATATACTAAGAGCTAACTTAATAGTTTTATGAAAAGCTAAATAAAATTACTGGACCAGTCATATATAATTCAACACAACTAATTATAATTGGTTTCCTTTTAAATAAGTAAGAGAAGTAATAATTAAGAAGCTATTCTTCAATATTAGAGAGATAACTAATGATTTGGTATTTCAAATTTTTAAATATTTTTTAATATTTAATGCTATAAAACCATTTTAATTAAATAAAACATAAATTAAGAAGAGTAATGGAGATTAAATTCTATTAAAGAAATAAATTTTATGTTTCATTAAAAGTGTTTAATTACAATTACTAACTATATCCATTAATAATATTGCCTTCTTAATAAATATAGAAATAAGATATAAATTAAATAGAATTTAGTTAAATTCACAGATAACATCAGAGATATTTAGTTTATAATGAATAACTATAAATTTGTGATTTAAATTATATAAATTACATTTAAAAAATGGAAAATTAAATCTTTTAAGTTTAATAATTAAACCATATAAAATAACCCAAAAGGCAACTATCAATAAATATAAATTATTTTCTTTTAGATTTTTTTATTAAATAATTATTATAATAATTTAAAATCTTCTTAGGGATGATTTATATTTCATCAAATTACTCTATTTCGCTTACTCTTGAATCAAAATAATCACTAGCTCTTAAGGATCTATATATTTCGTATACATAAAAATATGAAGCATAGTAAGATTGATAATTTTCTTAAAAGATTTTTTTATACCTTTTATGAAGAGATAATGGACTTTATTTCCAATTTAGAAAAAATCCAGAAAATTTCCTAACATTCTCAATCAAGAATTTATAATATATTTTCAGTTATTTATGAATTTTTTTTAATTAGATTTTTCCCTGTTACAAATACATAAAATATTTATTATAATTATAGAAATATATAGTATTAATAATTTTTTAATAACTAATAGATATTCTTATAGGATTGAAAAATTACTTTATATTTTAATAATAATATTAAAAATAAATTTCATTGATCCATAACTGAATTTATTAAGATTATTGCTCATAAAACCTTTGATCAAAATTAATCTTAACTTTCCAATTAAATTTTACATGAGGGTTGTGTAGAAACTTATTTTTATAATCTTTTTTTTGTAATTTTAATTTCCTTAAAAAATATTTACCATAAATCTTAATTGTGTATTTTACAATGTCTATGAACAAACTTGCATATAATATTGCAGAAAACAAACCAATATGCAACCATCCTGATAAAACAAGTTGGGTTTCAGTAGTTTAAAACTATAAATTATAAATGATCCTGTTGTTATCATAAAATAAAATTCTTTTAAAATTAATTTAAAAAATTCATACTTTGAATTAAAGGTATAAATTGACAAAGATACATTAAATATATAAGTGATAATGTTATAATAAAATAGATTAAGCTTCAGGATAATTTTTTAATTATACAATTATAATTAAATAACATTAAACTTTGTAAATTTAAAATGATTTAAAATTGACTGCCCAAAAATTAGCATTTGAACCTTCAAATAAATATCTCCATTTATTTTTATTAATTATTTTAGAAGATGTTATGGAAAGAGACTTAAAATTTAATAATACAATTAATATTAATGAGAAAATAGCATTTATAGAATTAATAGATTCAAAAATTGTATTAAAAGTTTCATTTTGGAAATTAAAGTAATGTACTAAATACTAATTAATGAAGAATTGTTTAATAGAGTTAAAAAGCATGTTGACTAATGTAATAATTTTTAAATTGTAGACAATTATAAAGAACTTGTGATTAAAAAAATCGAATAAATTTTAAGAAAGTTTTATTTTCATTCTTTTTAATGAACAATCTTTTTAATATATTAGAAACACACCTAGATGTTAAAAATGAACAAATAATATAAGTAATTATAGACATTAATGCTGAAAAATAACAGCTTTTAGCATTAATAATATAATTTGAATTCATAATTATATTATAGGTTTGTAAAGAAATTTTTGTATATGTATCTAAAAATGGTCTTAAATGTGGAGGAAATTGATATTATCTAAATCGAATCTATGAAATTTACAATTAAGAACCTAATTTAATTTATTGAGTAAAACTTATATCTATAGTTTATGTTTAATTTTACTTATCAGATAATAACTATAATTTAATTTGAGGTGCTTTAATGAATGAACAAAAACTTATTTCATTTTACAAAACCTTTACATTTAAATGAATTTTAAACATTAAAATATGAAAAAGATTACCATCATCACAAATTTCATTTTTATCTTTAAATTCATTATCTACTATTTCTTCTTCTTCTTTGATTATTAAATCATTATTTTAAAATACACATTTTGCACTTTATTAATCTAATGTAAATTAAGTAATATCACAAGCTTTAAAAATATTATTTTCTTCAAAAAATATGCAACCATAAGAACATGAATATTAACATTAATAACATCCATCAAATTGAATATTGTTTCAACGATCTTAATCTTCAAAATCTGAAGTAATATCCATCAAAATTAATATTATTATCATCATCACAAATCTCATTATCTTAGATTAATTAATTACCACATTATGGAACACATTAAAATGATTAAATTTTATATGCTAATTCACATTCTAAACATTATCCAAATTAACATATTAAACTATTCTTCTGACATTTACATTTACAATTAAAACATCCATCATTTTCAAAATTATTTTAATCATCACATTCTTCATTTTAAGTAATCATTCTATCACCACAGATACTAACACACTCATGTAAATAGATATAATAATAATATCCATGATATTAATTACACCATTATTAATTTTTATAATCGAAACAATTTATTCTTAATCTAAACAATATTTATTATTTAAACATATTTATCTTTGTTATATCAATTCTATACATAATCCATTTATTAATAAATAAGTTTATTAGCATTATATACATACACCTTTTTAACAATCAATACAATTTTTATTACACTAATATTTACATTAATAACATCCATCAAATTCAATTTGATTATTATCTTCACACTATTCATCATTATTAATTATTCCTTCACCACATATAGATTTACAAGTTTAAGTAATTTAATTGTAATAATAATCAATTTTACATTAAAGACATATATTATTATGATAATGCTTACAAAACTATGGTTAAGCATAATAGCAATTTAAACAATTATAATCCTTTATTTCACATTACTCTTCAGATGTGTTTATGCCATCACCACATTTACATTTACAATTATTTTATCCGTCTAAATAATATCCTTTCTGACATTTAATACATATATTAGAATCTAAATTTGACAAGGAACATTCTATATTTATTTAAATCTTCCTTCTACTTTATCAAAATATGCATAATTTTCACACTTAATACAATAATTTTAAACATAGATTGAACAATATTCTAAATAATAATTATATTTTGGAGTTACAGCTTATTTAATGGCATTTTTTATTNCTTATATCTATAGTTTATGTTTAATTTTACTTATCAGATAATAACTATAATTTAATTTGAGGTGCTTTAATGAATGAACAAAAACTTATTTCATTTTACAAAACCTTTACATTTAAATGAATTTTAAACATTAAAATATGAAAAAGATTACCATCATCACAAATTTCATTTTTATCTTTAAATTCATTATCTACTATTTCTTCTTCTTCTTTGATTATTAAATCATTATTTTAAAATACACATTTTGCACTTTATTAATCTAATGTAAATTAAGTAATATCACAAGCTTTAAAAATATTATTTTCTTCAAAAAATATGCAACCATAAGAACATGAATATTAACATTAATAACATCCATCAAATTGAATATTGTTTCAACGATCTTAATCTTCAAAATCTGAAGTAATATCCATCAAAATTAATATTATTATCATCATCACAAATCTCATTATCTTAGATTAATTAATTACCACATTATGGAACACATTAAAATGATTAAATTTTATATGCTAATTCACATTCTAAACATTATCCAAATTAACATATTAAACTATTCTTCTGACATTTACATTTACAATTAAAACATCCATCATTTTCAAAATTATTTTAATCATCACATTCTTCATTTTAAGTAATCATTCTATCACCACAGATACTAACACACTCATGTAAATAGATATAATAATAATATCCATGATATTAATTACACCATTATTAATTTTTATAATCGAAACAATTTATTCTTAATCTAAACAATATTTATTATTTAAACATATTTATCTTTGTTATATCAATTCTATACATAATCCATTTATTAATAAATAAGTTTATTAGCATTATATACATACACCTTTTTAACAATCAATACAATTTTTATTACACTAATATTTACATTAATAACATCCATCAAATTCAATTTGATTATTATCTTCACACTATTCATCATTATTAATTATTCCTTCACCACATATAGATTTACAAGTTTAAGTAATTTAATTGTAATAATAATCAATTTTACATTAAAGACATATATTATTATGATAATGCTTACAAAACTATGGTTAAGCATAATAGCAATTTAAACAATTATAATCCTTTATTTCACATTACTCTTCAGATGTGTTTATGCCATCACCACATTTACATTTACAATTATTTTATCCGTCTAAATAATATCCTTTCTGACATTTAATACATATATTAGAATCTAAATTTGACAAGGAACATTCTATATTTATTTAAATCTTCCTTCTACTTTATCAAAATATGCATAATTTTCACACTTAATACAATAATTTTAAACATAGATTGAACAATATTCTAAATAATAATTATATTTTGGAGTTACAGCTTATTTAATGGCATTTTTTATTTATCAAAATAACAGAGAAATACTACTTTAATTTAAAAATTGATGGTTTTTGAAGTTAAAAATTTTCATATATTGGAATAAGTAATTTGGTTAAAAAAACAGTTTTTGACTAAATCTTGGTTTTGTAATTTATTCTCAGATATAAAGTTGTCCATAGAATTATTCGAGTTATTTGTGAACTCTTTTTAAAATTAAAAAATTTAGTAAAATCTTGACCACCTAAATAGCAATTAATAAATGTTAATATGAATGCAATTAATATCGTAATATAATTTAAGCTATTTATAATAAAAGTAAGTGTTGATCTTAATATTCATGACAATAACCTTAGATACATAATAAACAGGAATCTAAACAACTAAATTAGCAGAAATGACATCCTTCTCCATATATTAGATTTGCATCATCACAATCTTCTTCAATTGTAATTATTTCATCTCGAGAAATAGAGTAGCATAAATGATCAATTAAAATATAACCAGTTTCACAAAGTAAACATTCCAATGAAGTTATAGTATCACATTATAAACATGATGATCATCATTTTGCTTAACAATTTTAACATCCTTTATATGGTAAAATATATTGAGAATTACGTAATTCTCATCCAACTGTCATATAATCACCACATTATTCTTTATAGTATTATCAATATACCATCCTGGTGTTGCACATTCAAGACATTTCCCCTATTTACATTTTGTACATCCATTTTAACATAACTCAATATATTTCTTATACATATAGGATTAGATACATCTTCTTAGTATCCATCTAAACCAATACATTATCCATTTTTCAATATTCTATTATTTATAAATAAACATTCTAAACAATATTTGAAATTTAAACATTAGTTGCAAGTAATAGGACAATCATAACATTTATTCGATTCTTCATATTAATTCTAACATTCTAATATTACTAATAAATTATCTAAATTATGATTAATTTATTCTTAAATAATAACACTCATACTTCCATCTTCATTTATTAAATTAAATCCAATTTTGTTTTTATAATTTCCTATTCAGATCCTATTTTATATTTTAATTATCCATCATCATTAAATGATGGACTAAATAGAATATAAAATGCTATAGATATNACTTAATACAATAATTTTAAACATAGATTGAACAATATTCTAAATAATAATTATATTTTGGAGTTACAGCTTATTTAATGGCATTTTTTATTTATCAAAATAACAGAGAAATACTACTTTAATTTAAAAATTGATGGTTTTTGAAGTTAAAAATTTTCATATATTGGAATAAGTAATTTGGTTAAAAAAACAGTTTTTGACTAAATCTTGGTTTTGTAATTTATTCTCAGATATAAAGTTGTCCATAGAATTATTCGAGTTATTTGTGAACTCTTTTTAAAATTAAAAAATTTAGTAAAATCTTGACCACCTAAATAGCAATTAATAAATGTTAATATGAATGCAATTAATATCGTAATATAATTTAAGCTATTTATAATAAAAGTAAGTGTTGATCTTAATATTCATGACAATAACCTTAGATACATAATAAACAGGAATCTAAACAACTAAATTAGCAGAAATGACATCCTTCTCCATATATTAGATTTGCATCATCACAATCTTCTTCAATTGTAATTATTTCATCTCGAGAAATAGAGTAGCATAAATGATCAATTAAAATATAACCAGTTTCACAAAGTAAACATTCCAATGAAGTTATAGTATCACATTATAAACATGATGATCATCATTTTGCTTAACAATTTTAACATCCTTTATATGGTAAAATATATTGAGAATTACGTAATTCTCATCCAACTGTCATATAATCACCACATTATTCTTTATAGTATTATCAATATACCATCCTGGTGTTGCACATTCAAGACATTTCCCCTATTTACATTTTGTACATCCATTTTAACATAACTCAATATATTTCTTATACATATAGGATTAGATACATCTTCTTAGTATCCATCTAAACCAATACATTATCCATTTTTCAATATTCTATTATTTATAAATAAACATTCTAAACAATATTTGAAATTTAAACATTAGTTGCAAGTAATAGGACAATCATAACATTTATTCGATTCTTCATATTAATTCTAACATTCTAATATTACTAATAAATTATCTAAATTATGATTAATTTATTCTTAAATAATAACACTCATACTTCCATCTTCATTTATTAAATTAAATCCAATTTTGTTTTTATAATTTCCTATTCAGATCCTATTTTATATTTTAATTATCCATCATCATTAAATGATGGACTAAATAGAATATAAAATGCTATAGATATTAAATTCTATATTTTAATTTTACCATTTACCTGAAAAGTATAAATCAAACGAATTAAACATTAACTGAAACAATATTTTAAATTTGTGTATCCAATTTGGCAATTCTTAATTCCTTAATAACTCTCATTCAAAGTTATATACCTTGTTAAAGGATTTATACAACTAATAAAATTTGCTGGATGAGGATTGTAATAATCTCTGATGTAATCTGTTTATTGACAATGATTTGGATCTTAAGCAATATTTTAATAAATCTTATTCTCATATGAGTATTTATTGATCATAATCCATTACTAATTGAATGATAAGCTTAATTGTAGCAGAGCAAGTAAAATTTAAGCAATCTGTATTTATATAAACTCAATTAAAATTTTATGATTCCTCTATTTTCTATTAAATTTGAAATAATCAAATTACTTATCATATAAAAATAAAATAAAATTTGATAATATACTTCATATAAATTATAATAACAATTTCTTGTTTTAAATTTATACTTCAACAAGATTAGATACCCAAATTTAATTAAATTTTTTATTTTGAAGAAATCATTCATTAATTCTAAAATAAATTAACGTAATCAAAATTTGTAAATTACACAATATCATATTTATACATTCATTATATTTTTCAATTTTTAATTTTTATATTCTAAAATATAAATATTCATATTTTTGAAATTATGGATAATAGTTGCCAATCTTAAAGAAATATATTAAACTATATAATTAAATATCTGAATCATTAGATTACTGAAAAAAAAATATAATATATTATTAAATAAAAGTAAAAGACTAACATGGAAACATTTTTACATCTAATGAATTTAGACAGTTTATAATGTGAGTAATAAAGCTTAAATGATATCAAAAATTATTCAAATCACTTATCATTATATCCATTTAGATTAAGTAATAATATCAAAATAGAATTATTGTTGTAATATTCTATGAAAAATATAGAAGTAAAAGTTTATTTATATAAAAATTAAGGCTTGTAGAATGCTTTTGGAGTTACTTGATCTATCCATTCTTGATTTTTCATTATCTTTAGATCCAAATTCAAGTAAAAGTAATTATTATCTTGATTGCAATATCCAAAACATACATAATCATCACGCTTTACTTATTAATATTATATTATTAATATTTGATTTTGTTTGGTTGAGAATCATTTTATTTCCCATAATAGCTTTTAAAATTTTTTTTAAAATATTATTAATTCCATTTTTTTATTATCTAATATCATCTAAGTTTAAAAATATTAAGGTTATTAAGATTAAATAAAATAAAATACTCAAAATTTTTTACTTTATAACTATTGTTTTGGGTACTAACTAAAATCCTCAAGTTAATTTAATTATGTGGTTTCATCTAATTTTTCAAATATTGTATTCTATAATGTGAATGCTAATTTATTTTTATTACCATCCTCTATTTTTTGTATGATTGTGGATAGAGTTTGATTAATTTGATTATCATATATATCTGAATTTCCACTAAAAACAATTCGACTTTGATCATTTTTCAATAAGAATTTTAGTGAATTTCTTAAATGATCTTCATCTTATTGTTAATTATCACTTAAATCAAAATGGGTAACTGCAATAATGATTAAATCTATAAAGAGTTAAAAATATTTAATCACAGACAATAAGTTTCGTTTCATAATATCTGTTCTTTCAAATTTAACAGTCACAATTAGGGAGATTATTTATTTTTATTTTCTTTTTGTTATTTAACTATATTCATTTTGAAAATAGTTGATAAATGCTTCTCTTTTATCTATTGATTCTTCTAAGTCTATTGCAAGACAATCAACGAAGCAAAATTTATTTTGATTCATTTTTAATAGTTTCTGATGTAGTTTTGATTTCCCTGAACCTGGTTATCCTATAATAAGAACACAATTTTAAGTTTCTATTATTTAGGTTTCCTTTTTTTATTTTCCCCTTGAAAAACAACAATTGTCATTACCCATATAAACAATAAATGTTATTTTCCTTTGTTTCGCTCTTTTAATTTCTTTATATAATTCTATTAAAGGGTTTTGGAGCTTAAATAAAGAATATATATAAATTATTTTAATGATATTGATAATTAATATGTATTATTGAGAATCAAATCTTAGTTTATGTCACATTTATTATTATATTTACAATAGTTCAAATCATAAATCTATTTTAATTTTAATATGTTTGTGTTTTGCTATTTGAAATTATAATATTTCTTTAATTTAGAAATAGCTCACTCCATTTTTTTGTATTCCCTACTATTATCTTACTATAGATGGTTAGAATTAAGAGATCTTTGGATAAACCTTCTTAATAATATTTAATGTTTTAAAATTTACAAAATACTAAATGAAAATAAAATATACATATTTTAGTTTTTATTCTCATTATCTTCAGTAAATCATAAATATATATAGTTTGCTCTAAAGGAAGGAAAATAATATTTACTTAAGACAATAACTATTCTAAAAATAATTGAATTTATAAAATAATAATATGAAATTAATTCAACAATTTTTCATTTAAACATTTTTTCGTTAATAGAGAAGTATAAATAATTAACTTCCTTAACCAATTGTGTTTAATAAATATAATAATGAATAAACATATAGATTTAATAGATGAAGATTCAATGAAATAATTAGTGACAACATTCGAAATTGATATAGACTAAAAATTGTGCAATGATTAAAAATAATTAAATATTGGTAATACTATGATATACTTTCCTTATAAACCTTATGATGTATAAAAATAGTATATGGAAAGTGTTATCTAAATTTTAGATAAGGGATAGAATGGATTGTATTTTTATATTGATTATAAAAAATTAGATTAGAATCTCCGACAGGAACAGGCAAGACTTTATGTTTATTATGTTCATCTATGGGTTGGTTATAAAAGCATAGAAAAGAATAATAGAAATCTTATTTGAATAGAAATTTAAAAATTATTTATGCTTCAAGAACTCATGCACAATTAAAATAAGTTGCTTAAGAATTAAAGAAAACTGTATATAGACCAAAATTATCTATGATAGGTTCAAGAGATTAATATTGTTTATTGAACATTAATATAAAAGGAAATTAATTAATATAAACATGTAGAAATTTAGTTAAAAGAGAAAAATGTTAATTTTATAGCATAGATTATTGTAAAATAATTGCTTCTCAAAATAGTAAATTGATCACTACTTTAGAAGAATCTAAATAATTTGGATATACAAATAAAATATGTCCTTATTACTTTGAAAAAGAAAGATTAACAAATGTTGATTTAATATTACTACCTTATAACTATTTATTAGATGATGAATTTTCAAAGGTAGTTGATGTAAATAATTCAATTATTATTTTTGATGAAGCTCATAATGTTCCATCAACTGCTGAAAATGGATAATCATTTTTTATTAATGACAAAATAGTAGAAGAAGCAAAAAAAGAATTAGAAGGTTGGTTGAAGTAATTAAATACAGAGATTGTACTTTATTAAAGTTTTTAATCATCATAAAAAATAACAAACATAAATGAATATGAATAAATTGCTTAAACGATTGGAGTTTTTTCAAAATTTTTGGAAAATTTATAAACAACTTATTTTGATGCTAAATCATCTAAAGAATAATGCAAAGTGTTTGAAACTTAATAGATCTTTAATTTCCTTTTTGAGCATACTTCTATAAATAAAAAAGGCACAACTACATTATTTTCAAATGGGATCAATAAAAATAATTTATCAGAATATATATCATTTTGTAATGCAATAATTGATTTTATGACCTAAGTATCTCCACTTGAGGGTTTCAATTTTTAATCTTGGATTAAATTTTTAAATAAGCTTTATAATTTGATGCTTAATAATAATGAATTAAATAAAATTAATGAATAATAGAAATATTTTGATTTCTATAAGTTTGCAATTATCAAGAATACATAAAATTAAATATCTTTGAATATTTGGTGCTTAGATCCTTCTTTAGCATTTAAGAAGTTAATGTAAAATAAAATTCATTCAATAATTTTAACATCTGGTACATTATCTCCAATGAAATCATGGTAAAATGAATTAAAAATAGAATTTTAGATAAAATTAAATAATAAGCATGTAGTAGATATCATAAATAATGTAAGAGCATTTTAACATTTATAATATGAATTTTCTTATAATAAAAGAAAAGATGATAATTAAATCAAAGATTTAGGATAAAGCATATTAAATGTTTCATAAATTATTAAGGGTGGTATTATAGTAGTATTCTCTTCTTATAGTCTTATGTAGGTTATATAGAAAAGATGGTGGGAATAATAACTGATTTAACAATTAAGTAAAGTTAAAAAGTGTTTCTGGGAAGAATAAGGAAGTGCATCAATTCATAATACATTAGAAGTTTTTAAGAAAAATGTTTAGAGAGGAGCAATATTATTTGCAGTTCATAGAGGAAAGGTTGCAGAAGGAATTGACCTTCCTGATGATTTATGTAGAGCTGTATTTTTAATTGGAATTCCTTATCCATCTTGTAATGATTAAAAAATTAAGTTAAAACAAGATTATTTAAATAATTTACGTTAAGGTTTGTCTGGTAGAGATTGGTATAATTAATAAGCTATTAGAGCAACTAATTAAGCTATTGGTAGAGTTATAAGACATATTGATGATTATGGGTATTCATATTTAATTATTATTATTAGAGCTATATTTTTATTTGATAAAAGATTTGATGAGTCAAATATTAAGACTGCCATTTCATAATGGGTTTAACCAGCTATTAAACCATGGAATAATGATAATGCTATTATCTAAAACCTTAAATTATTCTTTTAAAGATAAAATCAAGTTAACAATCTATTCATTTAAAATCTATAAATCTCTTAACAATAAGAAAGAAGAAATTATTAATAAACTTTTTAATAAATTCAATAATAATCAATTCCAAAACAAATTACATAATCTATTGCGATTTAACCATCTCATATAGATTAAGTTAAAATTTAACAAAAACCTAAAATTAAATAAAAAAATAAACTTTATTAAAATATTAAGATTATTATACAAAATAAGGGCCTTTATTAGATTAATTTTAAGCTTAAGAATCTGAGGATTTATCTGATTAATAAATAAATTAATTCTCTGATTAAGAGTAAGTGAGCTATGAAGAAGAATCTTATGGGTCATTAGAGTATATAGAAGAATCAATGGAGTAATCAGAAGAATTATAGCAATCATCTCAGTATGAAGAAGAATCATAAGAATATTCAGAAGAATCATAGGAATAATTATAGTATTTACATGAATCATCTGATGATTATTATGACCAATAATCAAAGAAAAAAATTAAATATAATACCCCTTATCGAGCTACATCATATCAAGAAAGAAAAAATAGATTCAAATGAAAACAATAAAAAATTATACAATTATAAATAAATATATCATTGACGCTTAATATAAGAATATCTGAGATTTCTCTATTTTTAATATATAACCAATGAGGTATCTCTATAAAACATATTAAACTAATAAAAATTATTTTTAGAGGCCTTTAAAATTTAAATAACAGCATAATGTATTCTTAAACAAACCTAATGATTAAACATATAATTTAATCAAAATAGTTTTATATCTGATTTCAATAGCAATTTGTTTTCTTTAAATAGAATATTTTAAAATATAAAACTAAACCTTTAATAATATAGTACAACCTAATATTTTAATTAATTAGATTAAATCGAAATACTACTTTTCGAATGAAAAATAATAAGAATTATCCCATACATTAGAAGATGTTTTAAGTTAATTAAGAAAAGAAAGTGCAAATTTATTTGATTAGATATAATACTCAAATCAAATATTTAGAATTACTTCTTTAGAAATATCTTTTACTTTTAGATGAAGATATGTTCAAAAGAAATAAACAAATCAAAAAATGCAAGAATCAAGAAATTATTAGAAAAGATCTTTATCAATAAATTTATGATGAAAAATAATAATAGGAATAATAAATTACAAAATTTGCTAAGTAAAAGTATAGTTAATTGAACAAAATGAAATCTTAATTTAAAATTTCTAAAGTCGGAATACAATTATCAAAATTATTCAATTTAGTATACAATTCTAGTCAAAATATCTTTATAAATTAGTAAAGAAAAAATATTGAAATAAAAATAGGAAGCAGAATTAGATTAAGTTCATATTTAGATTACAATTTAAGAATATGATCCAATAACAGGAAAAAAGAAAGAAAGAAAGTGTTAATGGAGTATTTATTTCATTTTATGGTGTGTATGCTTCTTAAAGGAATAAACAGAGCATCTAAAAATATAGAAGAATTTTTTGGTCGAATGACACTGTAATTCCTTAATAGATTCCAATTTATGTTTTATTATCATCTTTGAAAGATCCAATGCATAATTTATTAAAATAAACTTTAGTATCTCAAAATTATAGAGAATTTAAAAAAGTGTATTTAATTGAAATAGAAAGTTAAGACGAGATGAAATTCAAATGCATTTAATCTAATTTATATTAAAAAATAGATTTGCATAAGATTTAAATCTTCAAATTTCTAGATAAGATGTAAAATTTTAATAAACATAAGAGAAGAAAATTTAACAACAATTGGATATAGACATGATATTATGGTAAGAGTATTGAAACCTTAAAAGAAATTGAAATATTAGTATTCACATAAGTACAAAGCTTAGAATACATGAGGTAATAATTTGAAATCAGCATTAAAAGAGCTATCAAAAGATTTCACGAATTTTTTAAATAATTAAGGGGATAAACTAAATCGATCAATGAATTTAAGTTAATATAAAGTCCTTCAGAAATAACACAATTAATTAAAAATATACATAGGATTTTTTATTCAATTCTCAAAAAGTAGATTAAATTATAATTTAGGTATAAGCAATAGAATTTTTTAATCATATAAGAACAGATCAAATGATCTCATTGAAAAAAGAGCTTCATAAATTATGGTGTAAATAAAAATTTATAATAGTTATTAAAAATGTGAATATATTTATGATAATATTGTTTGTTTATGTACCATCTAAAATGTCTTTAATTTTAAATGATTAAAAAGGAATATCTGCTTCATATTCTGAAAAATAAAATATTCTGGCACGCTTAAATACAAATTCATTTAATAATAAAACTATATCACAAAATGGACAATATATACATAAAATAATAAATCTGTAAATTTTATATTGAAAAGAGTATTACTTCTAAAATTAATAATTAAAATGTTCATTAACAATAAACTGTGCTTAAGTTTCACATAATTATAAATTATTAGCTATAAGGGACTTAAAAATCTTAATTTAGTCAATTAGAGGGTTTTAGGATTATTAAGAAGTTATGAAATAACCACTTAAAACCTATTCATTAACGTTTTCTAATGATGATTAAGTATTATCAACAGAAGTAGATAAAGTAACTGGATGTTCTTTTACCATCCTCGCAATTATAAAATATTTTATTACTTTAATCTTCTCTAATTAATTCTATACTTTATCTAATAGTATTTATAACAACTTTTATTAATAGACTTTTCTCTTACAGTTTTCCTTTAAATAGAATTGAAATCTCATTAATAAAAATTTTAATAAAATCTATTTATGTATTTCTAACAAATTTAAATAATTATATTTATTTTTTAAATTAACAGAGACTTACTTAATATTTAGATGAGACTGACATCTTAGTAATTCACTATAATCAATTAAATAAGATCACTTCTCCTAAAAGTAAAATAAGGTCAATTAAAAATATAATAAATAGAATCATTAAAGGATGCTTCTATGAGGAAAGTCTGATTACAGAAGCAATTTTCATTAGCAAATTGAAAACCATTATTTAGTAGATACTTAATCTAATTAAGGTGGAGATAATGACAATCCTTATTATTGTAGAATTTATCCGAATATATTGTTCGACAGCAAACCTTTATTGTACCTGATATATCTTTGTCTTGCAAAAAACTCATTTCTTTTTTGTTTAACTTTTTAATTTTCAAGGAAATAACATCATAAATTTTTCTACAATAGTTTCGTTACTTCATCTTGAAAAGCACATAAGTAATTGAATTGTTTTTTTTGGATTATTTTAGCTAATAATTAAGTTTTATGCTAAAACAGATTTGCAGATCTCAACAGGTTTCCATATAGAATGTTCAATATCCATTTTTTTATATCTAGTTACTAAATTTATTATTAAATAAATATTTATTAAATGAATTAAGAGAGATTATTTATCTGCTAATAAATTTCTCATGAGAATCAAAATATTTTAGGATTTTGCTTAAATTTAGGTTGCAAAGAATCAAAATCTTAGTTTTGTCTAGGATGTTCATAAGATCCAATTATACACTCTAATTGTACGAAAGATCTTAAAGGGTTTGAATCGATTGATAGTTTATTTACTAATTGCTAACAAAATCTTCATTAATTAAATACCTAATTGGATTAATCATTTAGCAAAGCCAAAACTAAATATTTAGAAGAGAAAAAAAAAATAGAAAAACTGAATGCATAATTAGAAAAGCTATTAGAATGTTTGAGATAATAGGATTATGAATATTTAAGATTAAACTTATATTTAATTAAATAATGGTATCAATACTTAAATAATTAAGAGGAGATTATTAATGAAAATGAAATTGGTATTTCATATATTATAACATTTATAGGAAGTAAATTATGTATTGTAAAAAGCATGATTGAAGCTTTAAAATTAGACTAATAGTAACTATCTTCATAATCCATTATTATATAATAAATTCAAGAGGATAATCTTTAGTAAGGTATTAAAATCATAATCAATTAGGAATACAATTACTAAATCTGTAGAAATGGTAATAGGCCAATGATGCATTCTCAGAAGTGATAAAATAATCATCTTTTGCTACTTTCTTTTAAAGTACCTTAATATTACAAAATTATATTTTTAGATATTTCGTTACAAGAAATGAATCAACCAGGCTAAGGATTCATATTAAGAGAATAGGCTAAAAAAATGAATTCTAACTTATTTAGAGATTTATTGAATTATTCAGATTAAGAGTTAAAGAAGAATCCAAGGAATACTTTTATGATAATTGCAAAAAGTAATTGATATTGAATAAATTCTTAAGGTTATGCATTAAATGATGAAAAAAAATACTAACAAGCCATTGAATAATGCTAAAAGGTATTAAATGAAAACCCATAAAATCTTCATGCATTATATAGAAAAAGTAATCATTTTTTATAGAAATTAGGTATCTCTTTAGATTTATTGAATTAAATAGCATAAGCATAAGAACACATTGAAAAAGCACTCAATTACAAAAAAGATTATTGTCTTGGTTAATTTTAGAAAGGTAATTTAAATTATATAATTATAAGGATATTTGTTATAAGGGAAGGGCAAATATGGTGATGCAATTGATTTCTTTAAAAAGGCCATTCAATTAGATCCAAATTTTGCATAGGCTTATAATAATATAGGTTTATCCTCATTTTGATATTATTAGGTTATTCATTAAATGTTCTTAAAAAATATAAAGATGCAATTATTTAGTTTGATAAGACTATTGAAATAAATCCCAATTTTGCACCAGCCTTTAATAATAAAGGTTTTTCTTAAATTTCATTTAAATAGGTTATTCATTAAATTAACTTAAAGAATACGACAAAGCTATCATTTGCTTTGAAAAAGCTATTCAATTAGATCCTAATTTTGCATCAGCCTATAATAATAAAGGTTTAATTTTAATTTCAATTATATAGGTATTTCTTTAGAATATCTTAAAAAATATGACGAAGCTTTGTAAAATTACAGCAAATCAACAGATATAGACCCAGCATATACTTAAGCTTATAAGAATTAAGGTAATTTCAAATTTTATTAAAAGGTTTTTTATTAAGAGAGAGTAACAAATATCAAGATGCTATAGAAACCTATTAGAAAGCACTAAATAATTGTAAAGGAAATGAAGATGAATTTAATAGACTAATTGCAGAAACCATAAATAGTAATTGAATATTTCTATAAACTATCCAAAAATAAATATCAAAATCAACATTTATTTGACTTTTATAAATTATTTAATCAGATGTCTTTTCCAAATTCAGTAAAACTAAAGATCTTTATTCAATGATTATTTTTAACTTTCCTTATTTCTCTTATGAATAAAAATTTGTATTCTTTTAAAGAAACATGTCTAGTATGCTCATTTCTAGGCTAACCGTATAATATTTTTGAACATATCAAAATACAACCCATAAATTAAATCTATTCTACAAATACGAGTGTTTAATATCCTTTAATATAGTCAAATCTTTAAAAAAATATTGAAATAATTTTAAAACTAATCTATTTATTTTATATATTTTATATATAACACCTTATATGCTTAAATTAAATTAAACTACTTGAAAGTATATGCGTTCATAAGTTGAAAATAAAATCAAGATCAATTAATTGATTGTTGAAATATATATGATATCTTAAATTAATATTTCTAAATTAGATTTAATTAAACATTAAATCAATCAGACATATCTTTAGCCTAATAACTTAGACAAATTCAGATTACAGTCTTAAGTCTTGCAATAGGAAATCATTTTATTTTGTAAAATTTTTCAAGTCAGAATCAATTAAATTATAGTACCCAATTATTTTCCCATTTTTTTATAGATTACATAGCTTTATATCTAATCTCTTGACATCATTGATTCAAAACTTGTCTAATTAACAGTAAAATCTTTCCTAATGGAAATAGAAATTTATTAATATTATGTAGACTTCTAAATTATTTAGGATTGTGCTTATGTATTACATAAAACCAATAGTATTCATGACATCCATATCTCTGAATCCAAAAATTTCTTCTTTTCTTTCTTTTTATATATTCTATATATAATTTTGATCAAATCTTTCCATAAGACTCTATCTAGCACCAAATAATCTTTATTGTCTTTCTCCATAATTTTTCATATTTACCTATTATTGATTTTTTTGAAGCCATAATATTGGTGATATATAATCAAAGTAGGGTGTAATAAAACTCTCCATAATTTAACTATGTGTCTCATAGGTAATATATCTTATTCTTCATGTCAATTTTGTGATGATTACATATATTTTTTACAATGTTTAATTGCAGATTCTCTTTTGTTTAACCAAATTCCAAGATACTTATAAGATTCTTTTTTGTAACATCCTATCATTTCCAATTCATTTGTTTTTATCTACTGTATTATAATCATTGGATAGATCTATAAACATTACATATTTATCTTCACCTATTATTTTTTGAAATTCTATTACTTAAAATAGATTTATTTGAACTCTTCATCCTATACAAATTTTACTTGATCTATTCCTATTTTATAAAGCATTTTTCTTTATAGGTTTTTCGTATAGAACATTTCTATTAATTTAATTACATGTGATTGTACACATATTTGTCTTATTTAATCATTTTTCAGTATTTGTGGGCTACCGTATTTATTGGTATAAGTCTCATTTCTAGTGTGTATTTTGTTTATTTTAATCTTTCTATGTCTAATAAGTTTATATACTTCATAGCTTAATCCAATAAGATTTATATCTATCTCCTAGTAATCATCCTTTCTCCATTTTCCTTCACTATCCTTTTTATTTCTTTGACCTAATCTCTGTCTTCTTCTTTATAAGGTTTTTTATTGTTTATGTCCTTCATTTATTACAACTACATTGGCTATTTGTCCTGCTTTTTATCTTCTTATTTTTGCAATATGTTTTATTTTTTATATTATTCTTTTGCATTTGTGTATCTTATATGTTCTATTTATATTTGATAATCTAAATCCCATTCTTGGTATTTGGGTATTCTAAAATTCACCATTTTTATTTTCAATATCGTCTAGTTTTACAACCACAGAATCAATATAAAATTGACAAAGTATAATATTACAAACTTTTTAAATTTTTTTGTTGAAATGACTATTTCGGTTTTAACTAAATAAAATAAATATTTTAATAATTTTAAAAGTTTTTCGATCTTTCCTAATATCGAAAGACATATTTTCATTCTACTCAATAATAATCCATACTCCTCCTCATAATCTTATGAAATAAAATAAATTCCTTTGGCAATGTGATAAATTTACTTTATATTCTAATTTAGCTTGTTATTCATAAATTTGATAAAACTATTGTATTCTGTTCTGGACTGTCAAATATTCTTTGATAGAATTTATATAGATAAAATTATATCGATTTTGTTGTCCTAATATATAGAATATGTCCACTTTTTCCTGGCATTTTTATCTATCGAATCCCTTTAATATCTTTTCTATTTAGGTATAAATTTGATCTTTGATTAACCCATTAATCATTATGATCTCATGTTAATGTGTTTATTTTTATTCTCTATGATGACGACATAATGTCATCAGCAATTTTTCCAGTCATTTCAAATCTTTTGAAGCCCTTTATTTAATTTACTAATCAATAAAAATATTCCAATAACTCACTTAAATAATCATTGAAATATTTTATCTTATCATTAATCTTGTCCGTATTAGTTTTTTTTTAAGGAATTATGTTTTACATATAATAATTTTGTAAATTATTTCTGGCTTCTTTGTTTTAATAATGCTTTTTTGATTTCATTTTCAATATTTAACTATCAACATTTCTGGTTGATTTCATTTTATGTAAGTATTATACTAGAATTTTTATTCTATGTTATGATGAAATGTAAAAATGAATTAATAATGGAAATTATTATTTTTCAAATCTTTAAATTGCAAACTTTCTCATTAGTGATTTATTTCGAATAATCTCTTTCAAATTATATCAAAGGTTTCAATAAATATTTGATGCAAGACTACAATTTAATTTTTTCGAAAAAATTTGATGTTAAATATATATAATAATAATTCTAGATATATTCGAAAAAATATGTGTGGCTTAATAAATTATTAAATAATATAATATTTTAGATATCAATGATATACAATATATCATAATAGCAAGTTATTGGTATAAAAGTTTAAATCATCAAAAAAATTTGGCTGAAAAAAAAACAACAATTTTTTAGAAAAGATGAATTAATTTTTTAATTTAGAAAAAATTTTCTTTTTTACTTGCATGATTAAGTATTGTACTAAATTATTTTCATTTCTTCTCTCACTGAAAGAAATACTTTCAATATTAAATAAAAATTTACTCTTTGTATAGAAACTATTAAAATTTCATCCTTTAGAATTATCAAAATTAAATTAAATTGAAATAATCCTTTAAAACTTTCAATTTATTGCTATCTTATAAAATACTTTGAGATTACATGAGAAACTAATTTGATTTTGAATTGTCTAACTTTACTTTTTTAAAGTTATTTATTTTATGTTATTTGCCTTTTTTGATTAATAAAATTTTGAAAATTATTAATAGTTTAAATCATTTAAAGAAATTATGGTTGATAAAAAAATATAAATATCAATGAATTTTCTTTAAAATATTATCAATTTAAAAGGCTCCTTAATAAAGCTCAATATTTTATCCTGGTTTAATATGATAACAATTCAAAATTGTCAGCTGAAAGAAGCTTTATATCCTACTAAAGCTATCCTTAGTCTTAGAGTATATAAAATACTTATTCTATAATTAATAAAATAGAAATATAAATTAATAAAAAGAAATAAAAAAAATAATTTAATAGATTTTTGAACCTAACCAATCTTATTATAATATTCTGATAAGTAAAATTAATTTAATTATCCTTTATTTAATTTTGAAAATGAGCTTTTTAATCCTCAGAAAATAAACTTAATAAATTTTTGCAACAATCTCACTATTACTAATTAAATTAAATTTGATATTATGCCAATAAAATATAAGATCATAACAGTAACATCTAAGTTTTATGCGTTTTTTTAAATAATTTTACAATTAGTTTCAGGAATATACTTATTTTTTTTAAGCAAACTCAAACAAAATTATATAGTTAATTTATCAAAAATCACTAATTATTATGTATCAATTATGAGTAAAACTATATAAAAAGTTCTAATTATGTTAATTATCTAATTAAAATAACAAAAGAGCTTATTGAATAGAAAATTTTATTTAAAGGAATTTTTCAATATATGACTGACGAAAAATACAAAATTTTAATGAGCAGAGAAAATCAGATAATTATTTTTTTATATTAAATTATAAATATAAATTTTAACAGTATGACTTGAAATTATATGATTATATTCATAACAAAATTACATGCATCTAATCCTAACTCAACCATTAAATACTATTGAGAATATAAAATTATAGTATATTCAATTTTGATAATGTTTAATGCTCATAATCAATATAGGGCGTTAATTAAGATATATTATAAAAAAATTATAGGAATTTTATAAAATTTTATTCATTTAATGTAAAAATAATTCACAGGTAATCTATGACCATTTAAATAACTTAAATAAAATGCTAAGAATTTTTTGAAATTAATTTTATATAACTGATCACAGAAATCACATAAAAAATTAGGGGAATATATTGATGGTGGATTTGTTAAAAGAATAGATAAATTATTAAATTAAAATAAGTGAATTAAGAGTTTTTGAAAACTAATAATGGCAGATTGACAAATAAAAAATATCTAATTGTAATTATATTAAATGAATAATATGATTTTAATTAGGAATTAAAAAAGTTACTTTATAAATTCATAATCTTCTCATTAAGTTAATAATTAAATTATCATTCATCTTCTTGGATGCATAAACTAACATTGAAATTTCGAGATCCTTCTATTGAATAGAAATACTAACAAGAACATTAATCTCCTAAAAGAAGAATTCATATTAAAATATTGTTGTTAGTTTTGATTGTGCTTTTGATCATTAGATTAACTGTAGCATTAATAAATAAAAATTATGAAGTAATTTACCCTTTACTTGGAACGATGCCATTCATAGCTTTTACAAAATTCTTTAATTTTAATAAAGAATAACACTAGCGAGCATTAATCACTTACATTAATATTGGCTATTCAATATATCTGATTTTCTTTGAAACTCCTTTAGATACTCCAGTTATGTATTTTAAAGGAGCCTATTAAATGACTATTAATATTATCAATATACTACGAATTGAATTTGTGGAATCGATGATAACAATTATTTTATTGCTCTCATTTAGATTATGTCACCTTATTTTAAATAATTCAATAGTAAATATTACTTCTATTATAATGGGTATTGGAGTTAATTTATTTTTAATTATTATTGTCTATTTATATCATAAAGCTATAAGATCATAATTTCTCTTAACTAAAATTGATTAAAGGTGGGAGAATATACTAAAATAAATTCTTCATAATTAAAAATTTATCTTAATCAATTATCAAATTGAAAAGTTGTAATTTTAAAGTGTTACTTCTACTTTTTCATAATCTATTCAATCATAAGAAGATGTCATGAGATTTTTAAGGGAAAGCAAAGTAGATGATAATAGCTCATTAGAACAATATTTATTTCATAAGTTATAAGATTTGTCTTAAAACTATTTGAAAATTGTGAATCATTCAATAAATATAAAGTTTGATAAATAATTAATATCTGTTGATTTTTCTATCTTTTTTGGAAATTAACCAACTATCCTAATTTAGACCTGTTAATAACAAATTTATTTTCAAAATTAAGAAGTTTAGAATGTTTGTCAATCGTATTTAAAATTATTAACTGTTTTTATTAAAATAATTAAGAAAAAAATACCTTTAGATTATAATTAATTCCATAATTTAGCTAATAAAGTGTAAATTTAAGAAATAATAACATCAATTTGGAGTTAACAAATGATATCAAAGGTTATCAGTCTTGAAAAATCTTTGTTAAAAATGTAAAAATTCTGTAATCCAAATACTATAATTAAACTTGTTGGTTCAGATTAGTTCATAAATACTATTCCGAAAATATTTTATTTATTATTAGCTTGCATAATGGATAGTTCAACTAGTTAATTAATCATAATTAAAGGTTAGACTATGGAAAATTAATTGAAGCTAATTAAAATACAAGGACAATTCAAAATTAAAAAATTAAATAATTATACTAGAAAAATTAAGAATTACTTACTTCTTATATGCAAAGAAATCAAAGCATAATAATTTTGTATAATATCTCATTATTTTCTTTTATAGCTATTAATCTTGAATTAAATGAAGAAATTTATTAACCATTTACTAATCTTGTAATGCCTTAATACATTTTCAATTATTCAAAGAAGAGGCTCACTGAATGAATCAAAATAATCAATATTAACAAAATTTATTTTTATCTTTTATAATTATTATTGTTTGCGTTATTATATTATTTATATATTCTACTATTTAACTTTAAGAAACCTCTTCAAAACTAGTACATTGTTTATAATTACAAAATTTCCTTTAATACTTCTCTTTTTAACTCTCTGTGCTCTCTTCTAATTACCACAAAAAATCAGAGTAAAACTATTTTCTATAAATGTGAATGACATAATTATTCTATAGTTGAATTATAACTTATCCTACCTACTTATATACATAACATATATCTAATATCTCTTAACAAATATTGCCCTAAGTATATAGTCAGCTTATATTTTAAAATATTATGAATTGAATAATTCATTAAAGTTGGGAATTTTTTTATTTTCTTATTCTAAATCCTAAGCTAATTAATATTTTTTTTGCATACTAGCATTTTATTTGATTTTAGGTTAAGATGATTCACTTATAATTACAATGAGGGTTATTGAGATGAATTTCAACTTTATCAATTAACTCTACCCCATGATTTGATATTATATAGTAATTCAATAATCCCTATCTTTATGATATTATTATATTTAATTTCTAATTAATGCCTGATCTATCAAAATCCTTCTATTAAGCATTTTAAATATTTCTTCCAATTTTTGATTATTTTATCGTCTTAGATCAATAATTAACTTTGATATATTGATTCCTTGTATGATTACTATTATAGAATAAAGAAGGATTGTTTAATAATATAAATATTTTATTAGTTTCCATTTTATCTTCTTTGTTTAAATAAATTAATTTATGGTCACAACTATTACACAATTAAAAAATAATTGATATTTTTTAAACCAAATTGACTATTTGAATTTTATTAGTCAAAATCATAAAACAGTTGCTAAATTCAATCACTTTATATTTTTTTTTCATATCCAAGAAAATAGAAACCCCAATTTATCATACTTCAAACATTTGATTTTCCTAATTTATCTATCTTCTTATTTCTACTTACCAATTCAAGAAAGCCCCTCTTACCACTAATTTCATGCTTTTATTAAGAACAAACTAGATAAAAACAAGTTATGAATTCAACAAATGAATTACTTTTAATAGCATAATGAAGAAATCTTAAAAATTATTAATCATCAAATACACATCAACAGGATTTATCAATGCTAAATGTTTTAACCTATTTTTATGGTAAATTCTTAAATAATTTACGAAAATTCTATGATTTTTCTAATTCCCCTTAATTAGAAGGTTTTAAGTTAATTGGCTATTACGAATAAATTTGATCAAAAAATAAAAAAGTATATAAGATTAAGATTAATCGAATTCTTTTTATCGTTGAAACAGTCAAGAATATCTTCAATATTTTATGTATTTGTCCTTGCACAAAAATTTTATAATTTATATTATATGATTTTAAATTATTTTTTTTTAAGAACATGATCTGAAATGATGGTTTTTCACAAGTACTGAAAAACTTGAAGGGAAAGTTAGTTCAAATATTCTATAATTTAAATAATTTGAATGAATTGCTCTATTTTTTCTCAAACTAACACAATGCTTAATTTCAAAATATCATATAATGTATGCTATTTAATAAAACACTATAATAAAATTATTATCTGTAAAATTATAACTCATTATTAAGAATTTATGTAAAAATAAAACTTATTTTTATAATTGGATTTGATATTCATAAAAAAATATACTAAAAATGATCTTTTTGGATGAATCTTAAAGATTTATTTTTATTCCTTTTCTTAAACTAAAGTTGTATATTTTTATTTTTCTATTTAAAGTAAAGTCTTAAGATAGGATTGCTAAATAAAATGCTTAATAATTAGTTTAAAAAAAGTTATTAAAAAATCAATTAGAAAACAATAATATAGAATTAATAACATTTTATTAATTTAGATCAAATAAAAAATTTTTGCTAGAGACTGTTATTTTGGATGCAATTTATTTTTATTTGGTTTTGTATAATGCTTGGTTGTTCATATGCTTTGATTTAGATATAAATATAATTCCTTAATTTTTATTTTTTAATTGAAATTTAACTATTTAGAATGTAAATTGTTATAATAAAATAAATTAGACTTATTAATAAATCATTTAATTTTTATAGTTTAAGCCTTTGGCCATTGAATAATTTGTTTTTCAAGAATGTAAAAGTTTTTTATAAAGTATATTGATTAAGGGTTGTTAAACACTCGTTTTAAATAAATCAATTAATTTTTAAATTAGATTCAAAGTGTTTTCGAATTTAATAATTGTTTCTAAAAAGCTTTCTATTATTCTCTTTTTGATGATTATTTTTTTAAAATATTGATAACTCATTAAGATTTTTATTTACATAAATAAATATGTCAAAATTATCTTACAATAATTAAAATTTTGCTTAGAAGCTGAAAAAAGAAATGCTTTATCACTTTGATATATTTGGCTAATCTCCAAATTTAACAATACTGAATCGGAACAAATATACTTCAGGACTTGGGTTTATCACCTCATTTATGATTGGAGTCTTTGGGTTTTATTTTTTTGTCACAGAAGTAGTCTCTATGATTTCTAAATCAAAACCTGCAGTTTATTAAACAGAATTATCTATATCTGAAACAGAAGTATGAAAGAAATTTAAATAGCCATTGATTCTTAAAAACGATAACTTTACATTAGCAATATCAATTGTAAATCGATTTTCAGAGCCATTGATAGGGATTGATCGGTACTTCTAACTTAATATAAGTTAATGTGGAAGATATAGGATAAAGGATGAAAATTCAGATAAAATTTTTGTGAATTAAAAGTAAATATTTTAGATATTAGCAATTCTCCAAGTTGTACTTAAATACCAATCGAACCATGTAATATGTCTCATTTCACTACTGATATATAAAAGGAATATTTTTCCATTATTAGAATGGGAGGAATTTAATGTATTAATAGAAAATATCTGAATGAAAATTCTTTAGTATAAAACTAATAATAGCTTAGTCTTTGCAAGGTTAAATAACATCTTGGTAATTCAGATACATTTTCATATAATTTACAGCCTGTTAAAATACAACTAAATATAAAGATTGTGCATCATAAGAAGAAATTGAAACTGTTTTATAATCAGGTTATTACAATGTTTATAAAAGTGATTATCTTGCTACACTTGATCATCCAGATTAACCTTATCAAGAAATCATTACAAATGAATATACAAGTTTCACTTTAAGCACTTCTAAGACAATATCTTAACTTTATAAGATATTATAAACAACTACAGATTAAGGATTAATTTGGGAACAAATTCAACATCAATCAAATATTTAATAAAGTGAGTGGAGAGAGATATCTGACTTTTATAATAAACAATATTTAATTGTTCATTTTATAAAATTGGATTATAAATTAACAAATAATATTAGAACATATGTTAAGTTATAAACTATACTAGGAAAACTAGGAGGAATTTTTTAAATTTTCATTATGATTGTAGCAATAATTTTAAGGCCTATAATTGAAAATTTCATGAAATTAGAAATGGTTAATTCTCTTTTCAATTTCTCTGATTCATTTTAAACTTAAAAACATTCTAATGTAATCATCTAATAGGAGAAAGAAATGAAAATTTACACAAATTAAACTCAAAACTAAAACTAAAACCATGATCTAAATAAAAATCAATTAAATAATAAATTAAATTCATCTAATATTTAAACTTGGTTGATAATCTTTGGATGTGATAAATCCAAACAAAAATAATTTATAATTGCTAAAAATAAAGTTAATAAAAATTTAGAAATAGTTAATATTTTGAGAAAGTTACAAGAAATTAAAATCTTAAAGAAAATATTGCTCACAAACGATTAAATGATTTTCTTAAAAAATTATAGAAGAAAAATTGATGAGAATGGCTTCTGCTACTAAAACTAAAACCAATATTAATTATAACAGAATATAATATCTTGCTCTGGTAATTAAGATTAATTCAATTAAAAAAATTCATTAGAAAATTTTAATTTAGAATAGAGAAGTTAATTAGTTTTAGATTAGATTGATAATAAGGCATCTAAAAATCTATTCCAAAACGATATTGTTAATTCTTGTTATAAATTCTAAGAGATTCATTCCCTAAATTATGATGAAATTTAAGAACCTGTGCCGTAAACACCAAGAAAATGATAAAGAATCTTTGAACATCTATATATTATATAAATTTTAATATCTATTATTTAATAACAAATAAATATTTTCTAGTTAAAAAAAATATTGGAAAAAATGAACAATTACTTAATAGAATGAATGATGAGATCAAACTTGTTATGGATTTTAAATCACAATCAAATATAAGTTAAAAGTTAATTTGTATAACTCCAATCTCAACTTTATTAAACTTTTTGCATTTCCTGTTTACTCAAGTAAATACAATTAAAATAAGTCACTTTCTAAAATACTTGTGTAATTTTTTTCTTGGATGATAACATTATTAATTAAAAATTATGTAAAATATTAATAATAATTTATAAATATAATTTAGCTACTTATAATGATAACAACTAGATTTCAATCTCTTCTCCAAGATTTAGATATATTGGGTATTATAAACTAGATATTTTCTTTTTCAATCTTAATCTCTTTTTAGTTTAAGTTATTAGATAAATTCTTGGTTTAGTAAATCTACTACAAATCCATCCTATTTTTTTTTTCTACTTTCTAAATAGATAAGCTAAGAATGGATTCCTAATGATTCAATAAGGGAATTAATTTTAATAAAATCCTTTACCTTATCAATTTGATCACTCAATTATACAAAATAATATTTTAAAAAGCATTTATATAATGAATAAGCTATTTAAAATTCCAATAATTATATTGATTGGCCAAAAGATATCATATAAATTTGATTATTAGAACTACGTATATATTATTATTGAAACCAAATGATTAAAGTCTAAGTAATTAAGATCTTCAGGGATGCTTTAATAGGTATATGATCCTCATAATAGGCTAAAAGATCGATGAATAATTCTTTTTGAAGGTTTTGATGGTTTCCCAGTATAAGATTTTATAGTTTCAGAAAACCATTGAATGATTAAAAATAATTGACCAAACAATTGCAACAAAAAAAGTTTTATAAAAAGCATTTTTCTTTGAGATGGAGATTCCTTTGTTCATCTTTGTCTTTGTTTCTTTAAAACTGTCTACTATTCTATAGGATATTAAAGCCAATAAATAAATTGGGTTGTGAGTAAATAAAAAACATAAAAATAACAGCATAATAAATATATGTAAACTTGAATTTAATAAAGTTAAGCATCAATGCTATTCCTATATCATCCATCTGAATTAAAATCGCCAATTCTATTATTGCTGATAGTAAATCACTAATTAAAAAGGATACTTCTTCGGATTGTATTAATCAAAGTCTTCCTGTTTATACGCATTTACTACTTAACTTTTATTTTATCAAATAGAATGTATTCGATTTATGATTTAAAATATACCCTTTATTCGTAAAATGTGATATTCTGAAATACTATATAAAATAGACTAAAAATTTAATCCTTATACCTCAAAACTATGATTTTTATTCAAGTTATCAATCTCAAACAAACTAAAGCTATAATTTACATTTTAATAAACTTCATTTTAATTACAAAGTTATTAATATTCCCATTTAAGAGATGTGAGATAAATATTTCGAAAATAAACTATATTAATATTATTTAGAATTGGATTTTCTTATTGGATACCCTTGGACATGTTAAATTATTGTGATTAATTAATTGAATTTAAGCAAGCAAAATTTTAATAATTAGTATGTTATAGAACATATTTGCATTGATATTTATAAACTAATTATATCCAGTCAACTCTAATTAAAGTAGATTTCAGAACATCTGGATTGATTTTTAGATTACTTAGCAACGAAAAGTTTGAATATTTGCCTATAATATTTATAATTTATTATATTATCTAAACTTAAACTAATAAAATAAGATTGTTGAATTAAAAATCTAATTGAAATATTCAGAATTATTTATATATTAAATAGAATAAAAAAATTTCTCTAATAGAATTTATGTATTTAAGCTAGATCATTGTTGCTTCACCACTAATATTATTTTTTTTTCCTAATATGTCAGTTTCAAGTTTACCAAAACGAGGAATTAACAAGCTAATAACTATACCTTTAAAAATGTGTTGCCCATCCCAATGTGCATGCAAATCTAATTAAATAAGAACTTGGTATCATATAAAATGTGGAGCACCTCGGCTCCTGACCGAGTAGGGTGATGTCATCTGTAACTGTTAAGTTGAATTCATTCAGGATGTTATCTTTTAATGTGATAAGGCAAAATAATCTAATACTTGGTATCAGCATAAATCTATGTCAACAATTTTTATTGCAATTACATAATCCCTGTAGGCTGCAGAATTGGTTTTGGGAAATGATGATTTGTAGAAATTTTCATAAAATTTAATGACTTTTATTGTAAAAAGATGGAAGAGTTGATTCATTTGATGTTTTATTGTTATTGAATTAATTATAATTTAATCATTGTTTTTAAAAATATTTTATTAATAAAAGATGTTATCAGAATCATTTTAAAACTAGCATAATATTAAACTATTATTTTACAAATCATGAAAGAAAAAGAACTATTGGATCATATTTATTCTTTAAATACCTCTTAATCTATCTGAGTATCTTAATTTAATAAGATAATAAAGAATTTAAATAAAATATTTAGAATTAATTATACTTTTTAATAAAATGAATGTTGTTAAAATAAAGTTTAAATTTAGATTACGAAAAACTGTTCAATATATCAAGATCAATAATATTAATAATAAATATCAATAGATTCAATTATTAATAGAATAATTCTAGAATAAATTTTCCACAAAATTGCATAAATCTTAAAATGAATACAATTTGTAAAGATTTGCTATCTTTATGAATAAAATTTATCATTTAAGAGTGCTAATGTTAATTTTAACACACTATTTCTCATGATAATGAAATACATGAATTTTTTAATTATTCCTTTAATTACAATTCTTACTCTTTCTACTTAAAGAGAATAAGTTTGGCATGGATGACTTTACTATAAAAAAGTAACCAAATTTAAATAGTATTTAACTTGAGCTGGTTTACATGCAGATTCAAAATACTCAACCAATTTACTTTTTCTTCTCATATTCTTTTGGATTTATTCTCAAAAAAGAAATCACTCTCGATACTTAAAAATTTATTATATTATAATCTCAAAATTAAAACCTTGCAGATTCATTATAAACCATTCTCTTGTAATTGAAATCATAATCATAAATTAGTAATCCTTTTTTATATTAATTTAATAAAAAAAATATTAAATTATTATATTATTAAAATTTTAATTATTTAACTACAAATATCCATCTTTAACCAATAATTGAATATTATTTTCACAAGTCAAAGTTACAAATCTCTAATCTCTAAATCATAATGATAATTTCATCATTCAAAATAACAATCTATTTGGTTGTATCTTTGAATATTCATCTTCATTTGAGCAGTTTCCTATTGTGCATTTCAAAAAAAAATGCTAAATTATTAATAAAATCAACAGAATTTAACTAGCTACAACAATCACCAATTTCAAACAAAGTAATCTATCTGATATTTATCTATATGAAACATCTTTAAAATTTTTAATTTGTATCATAAACAGAAGATTGAAGGTTTATAACTTATTTTTTTCTTCTTAGATGTCTTAAGTTTTGAAATTTAATTTAGAATATTTAGAAAACAGTTTTTGTCTGAAATTAAAATTAAAAAGTTAACTACAATTATTTTCAACTCCATTTATGTCTTTACCTAATGTTTTAAGATTTATTTAAGAATAAGTTTAGAATAAGATTAAATATTTTTATACGATATACATTAAATTTAAATTATATTAATGTATTTGTTTTTATTCAAAAATCCTAATTATTTATTTTGTCAGGCACTGTGTTTGATTCCACAATATTAAATTTGGTTTTTGAATGGTATAGAATGATCATCAATAATAATAAAATTGTCATGAAAGTATAAAATATAGAGGGTTAAACCTATAAAAATAAAATCTCTCTAAATTAGCATAAGAGACACTTAGATTAAACAATATTTAGGATATTAATTTCACATTTCAGTTGCCTTGAGGCTTATAACTTTTTATAACAAACTTGTTTGAATTATTTTAGGTGAAAGTATAATATTTAATAGAAAAATTTTAAGTTTTTCCAACAATTTAATTGAAGCTTAATTATTTTTAGATACTTAGAGAGGCACACCAGGCAATAAATATTAGATGAATATATAATAATTACTATTTAAAAATATAAAATCTTAATTAATTGTATAATTTATAAGTCTTTTCTTAAAGAAAATAAAAATTATTAAATAATAAAATTAAATGGGATATTGTTGTTCCAAGAACCAAAATAATTTTAAAAAAAAGGAAGTAGTAGAATTAAAAAAATTATAAAAAGAAGTAAATGAAAATGAATAAAATAAATCATATGCAAAGGAATAAGAATAAAAGTCATCTATTAAAGAACATCATGTTGAAATTAATAGGGAGCCAGCATCATAACCAGAGTCTGAAATAATAGTATAGCCTACTCAACAAGTAGAAGATCTTAAGTCAATTTTAAATGATGAAACGTAATCAGTTCAGGATTAAAAGAACTTTTAAGAAGCATTCAATAGCATTCGTGATAGAATCAAAAGTTTTAATAGAAAAAAGGTTTCTATTGAAGAGTAATTAAGTAGCTTGTTCATTAGAGATTAAGATGAAAATGAATCAAAAGACTAATTATAAAATCATGATTTTAAAGGGCCTAGGATGGTAAATAGAAATATTTGCGATACAAGAAATAAATATGATTTCTCCAGAGTAGAATAATTTACATAATATAAAGGCAGCATAACTTTAGTGAAATTAATTTAAAAAAAAAAATCATCCATTTGCACTTATATTGGTAAAATAGAACAAAAATATTGTTGTGTTAAATTAATACCCATGACCAAGGTAGTTTATATTAATAAATGGATTGAAAGTGTTAAAAAAGCGTAGAGTAGAGAAAATTTAGAGAAAGAGATTTTTTTAGATTATTTATGTTAAAAATACCATTATTATAAGATTGAATTATTGAATAATGAGCCAGATTACTGTAATTGTTATATTATTAGTAATCTGGAGTAATATAATGCTTATACTTTTAGGTATTTTTATTGTTTTTTATTTATAGTCATCATCCATCAATAAAATTAATAGAAAAATTATCTATTGCTTATTATCTCATCTAAATAATCTGTGTTGTATTAAGGAAAGAAGATGATTAATAAGATTAATAACCTGTTCGTTTCATTAGATAGATTTTTAAGAATACGTTTACAGTGAAAAGAAACAATATATTGATATCAAGATTAGAATAAGAATAAAAAAGATATACAATAGTTTTATCTGATTGGTAATTGTTGCTTCCTGAATTTGAAAATATAATTCCTAATAAAAAACTACAGAATGAAGATAAACTCTATGAGGAAACTGAAAATAAATTTTATGAAATAATATCAAGCTAAATATATCACTCAGATCGGATGAGAAATATCATTTATGTAGAAAATTTTACCAAAAGATTTTTGAAGTTGTTATTTTTCAGAGTTAATGTTGAGTAATTTTATTCATTAATTATAAGTATACAATCCGATATTGAATTGTATGGATTTATAAATGAGACTAAGTTTGAAAAAATTTGTGAGACAAAAATAAACATAATTGAGAGGTAAGAATATCAAGATTATTAAATTTTAACAAAAATAATATAAAACTACCATTAAATGTCGAATTATTAGAATGATCGAAATGATTAATAAATCTTTGGATTGACAAATAAGTTGTTAACAAAAAAATCATAATTAATTTTTCAAGAATTTCAGTTAAATAATTCAGATAATTGTCCTTGGATATATTGGATTTACCTAATGCTAAAAAATTTGCAAATTGAGAAATTACGAGCTGCTTTTATGGACTTATTATAAGATCCCTAAAAAAAAGTGAATTGACTTTAAAATAATTTATAAGTATATTCAAAAAATTTATTAAATTGTATTCCAAAAATTTTGATTTTAAAAAATTAACCTTTAATATAAGAATGAATATATATCTATAATCTTATTCTAAATTGATTTCATCATTTTTATTAAATGCTTAAGTAGAAAGCTTAGTATATATGAGTTATTTTAAATTTATTAACAACACTACTAATAAATGAAATAAAATTAAAAATTAATCTTTCTTTCTAACTTAAAGATTAGATTATATTAATTAAAAAATAAGTTACATATTAGTAGAAATCTATATACTTGATGAAAACACTTCTGCTTATATAGAAAGAATATAAAATAGTTTATATAAAATAAATTTAAAATCACTTAAAAAAAGATTAGAACTATACATAGTAGATCTCTATTCTATATTAGAATGGTCAAAAAATAAGTAAATAATATTTATTATATTTGCTCAAAGTTTCTCATAATTATTATAATTTATTTATTCTTGATAAAATTATTAATATATAAATTTACTAATCTTTAAAATTTACAAATAATCTTCTAATATTTGAAAATGCGATATATAATTTCCAATTAATTATTTTTTCCATTAACTCGTGAGTATGATTTTTCTAATTATTATGATGGAAATGATATATAATTTTTAAACTTTCAGTATTCATTCGGATTCATCAAGCGATCTAAATCAAACTAAAATGGTCTCACTATTATTAAAAATAATTTTAATAAACAAATAAAAATGAAAACCTAATAATGTTTTACTCACTTTTCAAATTTGGTGGCTTGGACCACTTTCAGTTAAAAAATAAGGTTTCATTTATAATAGTAAATTGATCATTCGAACTACGGGTTCATCAACAATATTTTTGGCACTATCAATAGCTCTAGCTATAATATACATTTTAATTTTGAATATAATATGCATTCTAAATTATTCAATCCTATTGCTTGAATTATAGATTCTTTGGTTTCTACAATATACATCTCAGATTTCTATCTCTAAAACATACAATCCAGTTATCTATTAATAAGATTTTGAATTTAATTTTACTAAATTTTTATTATTTTAAAAAAATGAAGAATATTTATATATTTACTGATGGTTTATGACATTATTGATCTTATTCTGACCAATCTTATGAAATTTATTCTAATTTAAAAAATCAATAGCTTTTCTGCAATTCATATATATCTAATGAATAATCTTCGCTACTCTTTTGTACATTTACTACTGTGTAAGTAATATCACGCAATATTTGATAAATATTATATAGTGCCATAAAAATGCATATCTGATATATAGTTAGATAAGTATCATCATAGCGTAGATGAATATTAAAGGAAAAGGAAAAAATTTAGTGCATATTTTTATGTTGTTCATCCTTTGTTAGGCCAGTAATTTTAAAATTACCTTAACTTCACTTTTACTTTTTATCTTCAAAAAGAAAGTGAAAAATTAAATAGACTGTGATTAGAAACAAAAACAGGTGTTCAAAAAAGCAGATCTTAAATCATATGAATATATAATTAATTTTGTAAATTCTCAAATTTTATTTTTATATTCTCAAAAATTCAAGCTATGCAAAAGTTTATATGATTTACAATTTGCGATTTTACCTCCATAACAATCAAATATTAATTTTCACAATGTTTTATCTTTATCTTGACTTTAATACTAAAGTTATTTGATTAATAATTTAAAAATAAAAATAAAAATAAAAGTAATTAGAAACTCAATATTTTTTTTAAAAAAG